AAAAATTCAACAAATCGGGTAAACAGGTGAGATCAGGTAGTTGCTGACTCCTTGGTGACTAAGCACTTGTGGAGCCATGTGTATACAATATTTATCATCTAAAATCACAAAGAACATGACAATTTCACGTGGCCTCTTAGTGTCAACAGGTTAAGAACAACATGGTGGCAGGCTACATGTGAATCCACTGTTGGTCTGTTTCTGGGCATTTTAAAGGAGACATTCCTCCTTAAATAACATAAAGATAAACTGTATTTGGGAGGAATAAAATTACCAATTTTTTGTTTGGATTATTGTACAGTATCAAAAGTGTGGATGCAAAAATGTGTCAAAAATATTTGTAATCAAAGTACCGCCAAATAATTATCTTATCCTTATAATAATCATGAACAAAAATAATCACATTCAACATCAAAATTATCAGCATGAAAACAGTGGCAAAACCACCCAAGGAGACACTTGGATCCAATGACTTAATCTCCTTCTTCATGTAAAATAAACACATTCTATGATCAATTATGGAATCAGATATAGACAAACATGCACTGAAACAAAGAGGTATGCCCCCTCTTTCATAGAACATATTCCTGCTCTTCTCTAAGTGATCATCATCTAATATTCACCTAGAGCTCTAATCAAATATATCTCTTGTACTTAAACACTAGCAACATAAATACTAGAACTGTCAAACTGCAGACGACCCAACACTAGATCACATTCACTGATATTAAGACAACAACAAATACACTGCACAACTCTCTTCAATCCCTCATGCTAGTCTAATGTCTTTGGTAACTTCAGAGTGCACTGAAAAAAAAATATATATGAAAACAACTCTCCTAGTAATATTTCTTACTTGATTCTCTTATAACATAATGAATGCTCCCATAATTGGCATTCCAAAATTTAAAGGAAGGCCCTGCATTCCCTCAAAACTACAGATATTCAGATCTCAACCTGATAACAGAAATATACAATGCCTATTACACTCTAAACTATATTTTGTTTACTATTCCTCTTTTGCATCTAATTACAACTATAATCTATCTGAAGCCCAAAACAAAAAAGCACAATTGTGAATACACTTGCCTTTAGTGCACTTTGGTCAAAGGGTTTAACCTACAGTATACAATATTTCTAACCCATCCTTGGAAATATGAATATTTGTAAATACATATACACTTTCACATCCACAGAAAACACAAATGCACAAAAATATAAATATGCAACTATCTTTAGAAAAAAAAAGGAAAAGAATCTACTACTTAATATAATAATAATACATAAAAAAACACGAAACAATATCATACTAAGATCAGTTAAGCATGCATTATCAGAGAAGCAGACCAGAGCACCTTCCTCTATGAACAAATATAGAACAATATGTAATTACCATGGCAGTGTCTCAGGATATACTAGCACTATGGAATTCTCTTCCATAAAATCAATAATGACGCTGATAAGTTGGTCTACTAGTAATTAATCTGTGTTTGTTCGTCAGTGTGTATGCATCACTGCGAGTATGTATGCACTTCCACATAATTGTGTGCATATTTAATTGCCTGTTCATATTTGCATTGTGCATGTTAGTGTGTTATCCATGTATCCTTGTGTTGTATTTGTGTGTTTTCATATATTCAAACGTTTCAAAAAAATGTTCCTTTTAGCAATTACAAGCAACTAAGAACTCTACTTTCTCAACAGGAGTCCCTGCCATCAAAAACTCATCTGTGAGAAAATATGGTGAGAACAACATTAAATCACAAAATATAAAGATATTACATCACATGAAGAACAATTACAAATGGCAGCACCAACACTCATTGTATTTTCAAAATTGTTTTATGTTCTTCCATTATCTTTACGAAATCTCAGAAAAAAATCTTTAAAATGTGCAAAAGAAAAAATCCAATGTAAGTTATTGTGTTTGTATATGTTTCCGAATGGTACTGGAGAAAATAACATCAAAAAGATCTCATGGAAAAAAAAACTTTTTAATAATAATAATGATAATAATAATGATAATAATAATAATAATAATAATAATAATAATAATAATAATAATAATAATAACAATAATAATAATAATAGTAATAATAATAATCCTAATAACAATAACAATAATAATAATATATAAACAATAATAATCTTATCGACAACAACACAAACAGTTGAACATTATCAACCCTCTGCTATAAACAAATGAAGAAAATATAAGATCTTTCACTCTCCACATGGAACTGTACAGGGACCCAATTCATAACAAAAACTGGCCTTTGCGTTCATTATCATTATTTATCACAATATGTAGCAGCGTTTGCTGTGGGGACATCTGGCCCATTTTAAGCAGAATTCAAAAATAAAAGTAGAGTCATACAAATAAAAAGGAAATTAAAATTCAACAAAAGTAAAGGTAAAAAAATAGAAAAAAAAGAAAAAATAATAATCTGATGTTTAAAGTATTAAACAAAATCACATTTGTACAATACAAACTTTTATAAACATTATAGCTGTTGTTGGTATCATGCCCATGTGTGCTCTAATTCACATTGAAATAGCTCTAAATGTGTCTTAATCTAGTGTTATATAAATGTGCAAAAATTAATATAATAAGGAAAAAGTGGCTATTAATGTGCACCACTTTTACATCATGAAAAAAGAGAAAAAAAAAGTAATGGACCTATCATACCCTTAGGATTTTTCAAAAATCATTATAAAAAGCACCAAAAAACTTCCATACCTAAATGAACTAAACAAAAAAATACAATTAATAATAATGATAATAATAATGAGAGAAATAACAATGATAGCTTCAATTACTTTTTCTATTCTCAAGCCACAAAAAAGTTCTAAAGATGTCTTAAGTTTAATCAACCTCACCTTCTCACAGCTCATACACATACAGCAGAAGATACGGCAGTGAAACTGTTAATCCTGTCAACTTATACTTTAATACTAAGGGCTAAAAACAAGCAGTACCTAATACTGGGACCAGAAGGACCTCTGAAAATCTGGGATTTGACAAAATAGAACAATATTCAATGTTTAAAAAATAATCAATTAAAAAAGATAATAATAATAATGAAAAGAAAGACATCCAAATAAGAACATGAACATGCATATGCAAACAGACACACACACACACACTCATGCCTGCATTTACACACATATAAACACGGATAAAGAGAGAGAGAGATGAAAATCAAAAGATTCCAACAGAGACAAGATATACATTTGAGTGTGGAAGTTCAAATACACAGATGCACTTTTCATGGATTCTAATACACCCTCCCTTTATAAATGAATATAACAACATACCACAGAAAATTATAAACAGAACTCCTAAATACATGAGGATATGCATTCTCATTCATGCCAGTTTTGACAATTTGCACTATATCCTAATTCTGTCCCCACAGAAGAAAAAGCTAGGTAGGGTTTTACAGAGCTTTGGGTTCCAAATATAATCATAAGCTATTTATAACAATGCTCATAATCCATTACACAATATTAGCTGAATTTATGAAAATTAAGATTAAAGAATTTGTTTCAGTACTGAAGTTTGTCTAAGATTGTGACTAGAACTCTATAGATAGCATCTTTGGGATGTACATATATATGAAAAAAAAAAGAAAAAAAATACATACATATATTACAAATAAATCTACTTGTATCTGCAAATGGAATGTATCTTGATCAACAGAGACTCCATTGACCTGTTGAATTTGTGACAAACTAATATAAAAGTCACTCTAGCACCCAGTCAACTGCTAATTATTGGACGCATAGTGGATGCCGATTATGATGCCAACAATTGCCAGGATGATGATCAGGATGAGGATGAGGATGCAGACACGTCGACGGTACTTGCTCTGGAAAATATGAATGGGCTGTTAGGGGTATCTCACACCCTTAATTCCATGGAGAGGATTGTGCAGAATCAAATCATGATAAACTCTACCTTCCCTTTCATCTCTCCTTTCACCCATAGTACAATCCAGGTATATCAAATGAAATACTACAGCAATGTTTAATTTATATCAAAATCTTATACTTCTCTGGAGCATTATCAGTATAATAACCTGGATTATCAAAATAAAAATCATGTATGATAAGCTAGTGGAAAATAAGAATGAGATAAACTTTATTTCATTTTACACTGACCCAGACACACCCACACATACTGCCAGTACCCCATGCCCAATCAATAATCAGCCACAATCACCCAACTCCGGCAATGTTTACCAATGTCAAAAGCCTTTGACCTTCTGAGGAAAAGCTATAAATATGCTATATATCTCCCAAGGACACTAACCTGATAGGTGGAAGCCTTCAGCAACTGCTCTCGTCCCTCTTCCACATTTCCATGTGCAGTCTCTACATTATCCTCAATTGAGTCTGGAATGGGTAGAATTTATGAGAATAAGCCGACTCTGTCCACGGTATTTAGAATTGCACATGGACTGACAATGGATAAAGCAAGGGAAATAGTGATTTAGACTGTCAAGGCACACTTGATAGTACAGGAGATCCATGCACTTCACATCTGCCTGCAGAGCTATAGCCTTCCAAAGTTAAGTGAACATCCTTATTTTTTCACCATTTTGCAAATAAAGACCAGGGAAACACAGATAAATAACACCAAACTAACATTGATCAACCTTACAAATAGCCAACTGAGTGTAGCAAGCCAATCATTCATCTCTTCTATTTGCTCTTTGTTGAGTTAATAGAAATAAAAAAAAGTTGGATGGTGTTTATGCAATCTCATCTCTGCCATTTACAAACCCTGGTGTGCTTCTACAGTCACCAAGTAACTTACCAATAACTTCTCCTTGTGCCGTGACCATAGCTGACAAGTCACGCATGATTTCATTAATGTCAATAATGTCAACTTCAATTGCACGCATTCGTTCCTCCCGCTCAGACTGCATTGCTGTTTCAAATTCCAAGTCCTGTAAGAAAGGGAATTTATATTTATTCTTTCTCTAGCATCATTT